ATATACACCCACACATATATAAAAACCAAATGGAGTCTCAGAGAATAGAACCCGCAATCTGTCGCCAGACATCTCGGCGAGCGTCATACTGTTTAGACCACGGATGCATTACGGATCACAGACCAATAAGCGCCGCACTGAAGCCTCCACAAATTTTATAAGCGTTGCGGCGCTTATTCGAGCAATTACGGTAACGTTTAACTTTAACTCTCTGTAATATCGATTATAATGCAGTATGGTATGGAAAATATTATTTGCCGAACAAAGACATGACGTATAATAAAATAACGATGGATATAAGATAATTTAATGATACAAATTACGTCTATTTTTAGGTGTTCGGTTTAATAGTAATTGTGTTCCTCAATTGTTGGAATATGTTTTCCTGTACCGTACAACCAAGTCCGTTTCTCTTCGTATCATCAAGAATTATTAATTTAAAGATCATTCTTCGACTTCATAAAGGCTAAAGGTATCATAATGATTTGGCGCCGGACGACAGATGAAACCGAGGTTTTGGAGTTGATGCTTCTTGTTCCTGTTTTAATTTTTTTGAATTTTGTGTTAAATTGTCATAACTACATCAAAATGGGAAAAGGCATACCTGTATCTGTATGTTTATGGTCACGTTAAGCAACGTTAGATCTATTAGCACAGGCCTCGTTGATCTCTGCACGTAGGCGTAGTTTCTTAACTTTATCCTAAAATATTGTTTTATCTAATTTTGTAATGATTATAAGTTTACGCCTTATATGGTGATATGTTCCATATTCTGCCAATATTTGTCGGAAAATCAAGATCCCATTTGTTACACAACAAAATACTGTTGTCCCATGCTGAGTGGTGTGAACTAACTGTATAGTATTACTTGTTTTCTATTGAATGCAGCTGACCCTTCAATACTACCGGGAAAGAGATCCGTAGAAATGGGCTTTAAAATTTAGACGAAAATTATCATGAAACATTAAACATAGAAAAAATAACTGAGTAACAATTTTATTAATTAAAAAATACCAATATTAATAATATTGATTATATCAATAGAAAATCTGCCTGTACAGACGTTTCGTTGGCAGAATTTGTCTGAGTACACGGTAAGTACAGTATTTGATTGATACTTTTCGCCGGCAGCTCAAACGCCGATACTCAAAGGCAATCCAAATCAGGAATTTTGCCGTCAGCACGTTTCTAGTTAAATATGGTTGAAATATTAATATGGAAGGAAACCAGCATCAACTTTCAAGATCGGCGTTAAGTACGAGTTTGAAAGTCAAGTATGGTTTGGCGAGCAGAGTTGTCATTTAATCGCAAATAGAGATAGGCCTATCTTAGTTTAAAATAGAGATATCTTAGTTTGAAATACAGATCGATTTTTAATGTCAAAACTTTCGCAATTGTGACATATCTCAGGTCCCTGTCCTTTCGGCCATGAAACGTATCGGCTAACTAGGCTATTTGACATTCCATCATAATTTTGCAATAAAACAAGGGAATTCAGCTCTACAAATCAACGCCTATATCCACGAAAAAAAAAAGAAAAAAATAAACTGTCAGCGAATTCACAGTTCACGAATTGATTGTAAGTGGACAGATCGGGGAAAGCTCCTTCGACTAATGGTCTGCCGGCGACCGTCTGTGGGCGATCATGGGGCAATCTGATCTGACCAAGGGATCTGACATTCGCCTTTGAATATATATGTGCGTTCTACGCGCATGAAATAACCATAGCAATGCTTTCTTGGACATAATATTCGCGTTTCCATAACATGACTGTTCGCATCCTCACCGATAAGAAGTGCAAGTACACATTCTAGGTAGGTCTATCCACTACTGAGTGTATTAATAATGCACACCTTATGAAAAGGTATGTCATTTTTTTAACACCTATTCTAGGCCTATTATCAAAACTATCTTTGCTATATTTTTGATACAAATTTTCAGTGATAAAAGAGAACAAAGTCAGTAATGTGCTCTGGATTGTGCACACCACATGAGTCACGAAAAGTATGTTTCTTTACGCCGCCAATGCGCATTTATGAAAGTTGGCGAAAGCAAAAGACGGCCTAGTTATCCTGTACAGTGTATTTATTAGCGATACAATAATATAATAATAATAGCGAAGATATGTACAGGTATTAATAATTCATATATGGTAAATATCATAATCTTATGAGTTTAGAATCAGAATTTACAATTAGAGGATAAGATGTTAAAATTAATCTAAATACTATTGTAGACATTAAAAATCTATATATTGGACACTGAAAATACATACAGCAGACTCACTGTTATCAACATAAAACAAATTCAAAAATTGTATATTGTGTATATTGACATGTTTAAGGAAATATTGTGAAAAGAGAAAAAAAAAACTGTACTGAAAATAATGATATTATGTTAAAACCCTGTGATAAATGTGAAATTATGAATAAAGGTGGTTTCACCAACAAAAAATGAGGAAAAAAATTATAAGGACTTTCGTCACTTGTTGTGATGAGCCAAATATCAATCGTCATCGTATTTTTATATATAGGTTTTATGGAGCGTTACGATGATATCGTTTAGCACTACGGTGATCTCCATAGTAACCATTTGCTTTATGGTTACGTTGACTGTCACCCTTCCTCTTCCAGGTAGGACATGTTTGAAGCCTTATATAGCATTAACAATAATACAGTACTGCCAATAGAGGTCTAATAACGACAATAACATTAACAAAAATGATGATGACGATGTTGATAATGATGACAAAGATTAAAAAGCATAGTGCCACCTAATACTGATAATTTTTTTATTCGTATAAACAAAAAGCAGTTGGAGTGTTCAACCTCTCACAACGGTACAGCCTCTCACAACGGTACCGCTACTTTTAACGCGAGTTTCTTTTTTTTCATTTTGTGATATGACTTATGCCCTATAATTTTCATAAAAGTTTCACTTACGAATACGGGTAATAATGATAGGCGAGGTGTTTACACCATTTAATACTGGCCAACTCATTTACAGGACAGAATACTGTAGTCGTACGACTTCTGAAAATTCATTTAATTCAACTATAGAATATTGTTACAGGTCTAAACAGAGATCTCAAGACGGAAGAAGTCCTAGTTGCACAGACCGAGCATGACCTGCCGTCGGACCTCGTATTTGCCATCATTATCACAATTTACCACCTCTTCCACGAAGGCTTGTGCACTAATACTCCAGTGACAGATGGGAACACAAATCGCGCCACCATTGTCAAGATTCAACGCTCAAAAGCTAAACAAATTCAACTCGGTTACGTGGGTAAGAAGTACACACGGATCCTGGGCAAGAGGGCCAGTACTTTTATTCCTTGTGAGTAGGGGTGGCGCCAGCGGGGGCCGGGGGGCCAGGGCCCCCACATCGGGGAGAAAAAGCACACTTCGTCGGGGAGAAAAAAACTCTATGTATTTTCTACATATTAGTAGACTCTAAAATCGATTAAATAAGCCTTTGTAACCCCTAAATTGCCAAATTTTCGTGGCCTTCGCCCCCTGGACCACTTTCGGAGCCTTTTCATCGAAATTGGACCACACCTACTTTGCTTTCGTCGGGGAATCTGACCCCTCGTCGGGGCATCGCCCCCCCCCCCCCCCCCCGGGCAAACTGGCGCCACCCCTCCTTGTGAGATAAATTGCTGCTCTTTAAGTGCAGTAGGTCTTGTCGCAGACCCTTACAATATCTCGTCATATGAACATGTTCAGCCTGACAATGAAGGACCTTGCTCCAGATTACAAGTAAACATCTCTATTGACCACTTCCCCCGCCACTTCCCTCAAAAAGAATATCTTCACAATATATGCATTTCTGCACCAACAGATGACGATAACGACAAAATACACCGTCTGAATTTAAACAACAATAATGATCACGACGACCAGCATAGACGAGGTTTATTTCGCGTGCTTCTAACACCATTTCGCCGGATACGAACATTTTTTCAACGTTTTCGGAACAGAACAACAACTACCAGTCTAACAACAACCACTACAGCAACTGCCCAACAAATTAGTCCTACTAATCTTAGAGATACAGAATGTCAGTGTACACAATCTAATAGGCCTATTGCACAAAAGTCACGTGTCGATCTAGAGGATAATCTCCAAGAGGATAATGACGCTACTGGCAACCATGGCAACTGGAGACAATCACAACGCCCACGACTAAGGACATTTCAATGGCTAGATGAACCAACATCTTCAGACGACAAAGAACGAGAGCGATCACTTCGATGCAAACAGCGTAAAAAGATGAAACGTTCTGAATTTTG